TGGAAACCCAGAGGCATATTTTGAAACTGGAGCCTGGGGAAACTGAGTACCTCCTCTATCAAGTACATGACTGTATGTGTTTGATAAAACTCATAAAATTGTACACCAAAAAACCCTGTACACTGATGTTTAAGAAAAACTGTACACACAAGGTCAAGGATTCGAATCCTCATATGGGCAGCCGCCAAAAAATAAGAAATAAAATAAAATAAATTGTACACAGAAAATTTATACTGTATATAAATTATTCTTCAATAAGCCTGACTAAAAAGAAATGTGGAGCAGGAACAGCAAAAATGTCAGCATCTGAATAATTTCGGTGCAGTGTACAGTTACAGTGGTATTTTTGGCATGTTTCAATCTGAAAATAATAAAAACCAGTATGATTTTTTAAAAGCCAACTAGTTTATCCAAACTGAAGTATGGTCCAATAATAGGATGCAAGGTTGGTTAGAGCGTGGTGCTGATAACACTAAGGTCAAGGGTTTGATCCCTTTACTATCCAGCCACCAACAAAACAAAACAAAACAAAAAAGCAATAATAGGACGCAAGGTTGAAATTGTATGGTAAGCAAATAATTCTAATTTAAATCCTCTCAGTGGATGTCTGTGACTATGTATTGCTTCGCTGGGAGAAAAGGTCAGATATTAATTTGAGACCTTTCGAGAATGTGAAGTATACTCAAATAGTCCTTCTGTCTCCATAATGTTTCAGAAACACTTGCAGAACAAGAATAATACCTGGTGGTTGGCGAGGCAGGTGGGGAGTGGGAGAAGGAGAGAAGTTGAGGATTATTTTCTTCTGGGTGTTGATTTAGAAATCAATTGCTGGATTGGTTACTTAACATTGAAATGGTAAAGCCAGTCCTTTGTCTTCACACAGTCGTGATCTCCCTGTAGCTCTAAGCAACCCTGTTATAAAGCTTGATGATTCATCCTCCCTATTTGTAAAATACTTGATGAATAAAGATGGATGAATATACTTAATCACTGGGAAAAAACAGATACCTAATTTTAAACAGATTAGAAGCCATGACATTAGCAATGACAACAACAATAATAACCAATTCTGTCAAACCACACAAAGAACAAGATAGAGTGGCTGACTCCGCCTTGTGAGGTCAGCCTTAGCTTTTTTTCCCCTGCTTAGCTGCTCCTCCTGTCTCTGATTTTTCAGGCTCCTAAAATGTGGCCGCTTCCAAGTGCAGAATTCCAAGAAGCTGAACTGTCTTGATTCCTACCAACACTGGCACAGACTACAAGGAACTGAGAATGCCACTAATCCTAGGGAAACAGATGGACATTTTACATCACAAACATTCGTGCACAACTCAGATGATGAGGTTTTGGCAAAATATGGAACAGTCCTGTGCCCTTCTATCCTAATGAAGGAACCTACTAAGGCCAGGGCATTTTAAATCACAAACAATCCTAAGATTTTGGGCAAAATATGGCCACTTCTGTGTCTTTCTATCCTGATGAAGAAACCTAGCAAGGCCAGAGCAAAAGGAAGAGGGAAAGGATTCTCTGGGTTGAAAAATAAAAAAGCTTGGTAGAAATGGGTCACCTATGAAATGAAAATATTCCTAAGGTTTACAAAAGATATCTGAGTTGATGTAAGACAAAAATGGTAGAGCTGAAGGGCCGTTTATCAAAATTTAATCCAGCAGCCCAAAATTTCAAAACAGAAGATAGGACAAAGTGATTCACAGATATTAAGTAATGGGAAGGAAAGTAGAGACCAGGAAGTAAGGAGGTTTAAAAAAACAAAACAAAGAAGTCCTGGATTTAGAAGTTATGAGATGCAGTTTTGGAAAATATACTTTTTGTTTTTTGTTTTAAGGGAAACATTTCATCAGTTGTTAAAAGTAGTCCGGAATTTCAGTCAATGCTAAAGCAATCGTTTGTAGAAAAAAAATTGGAAATATCTGTATTACACATTTGAGTGATCCAATTATATTTTTATACACTGTCTCTGGAATGCCACAGGAAGGTGCTGAAGATGTCAGTGATGATTTAGCTTTGCTATATAAATTTAACAAACTGGGTGTATATATACTGTTTGGCATTCTTCTGAATTGGTAAGTGCGTTTCTTAAATAAATACTGTGGTATGTTTACATATTTTGACAACTACTTCTGAATTGTAAGGAGATAAAGTGTGAAAGTTATAGCCAACGTCCCTGGGCTCGGTACCTCCTAAATAAGCCAGTTTAGAATAGAGGGGCTTTCTTTCCTGCAGTCTCCAGGTCATTTAAAAGAGTTACAGTCGATTTGCTTTGTTTTTCCCTTTAAGACTTATAAACTTTTCTACTTAATTTTTGTCAAAGTTTTTTGTCCGTAAAAAACTTATTATTTTGTCCCCCTTAACACAACACCACAACACGGAAAACAAAAGGTATCCAGCAACCTTCTGAGATGCATCTAAACCAAAAAGGCGAAGCCAGGGTCGACAAAGTCTGGCATAGAAAGAATTCAAGGATCGAAATGTGATTGATCCTCAGGCTTCCCCCAAAGACCCGTAGATAGTCGCATCCACCCACCAGCTGTCTCAGGACATTTGTTAAAAATGCTGATTCCTGGGGCTGGCCAGTTGGTTAGAGCCCGGCCTTATAACTCCAAGGTCCCGGGTTCGGGTCCTGTACAGACCAGCAGCCAAAAAAAAAAAAAACCCAAAAAATCCCCCAAACCGGACTGATTTCTGCCCCGCCCCTCGCGCCCGGCCTCGCCCAGGCCCCGCCC